CAGAACAGGGAACTCTGCAAAACTACTTGGCATGGCTGGGAGCACTTCTTCCTGCAGAGATCCTACAGCATGATCTCTGTGCCAGGGCAGCTCTCTAGGAGGAGAAATGCACGCAAAAAAGGGATTGTTCCATCAAACAAACTCCTTGTGCCACAAGTCACAAGGACTTGGTGTCCCCACATCCCTCCCGGTGCAGGCAGCGCCTTTCTCCTCTGCCCCACACAGCACACACTGCACCGCCCCAGGCAGCGCCTTTCTCCTCTGCCCCACACAGCACACACTGCACCGCCCCAGCAACCAAAAGGCCTCAGCCTTCAGGACAGACCCCCCAAATCAATGACCACAGCACAATGAAAACAACAAGCACTTCTGATTTAAAAATTCAATTCCTTTATTGCAATGAAAATCTTTTATCTAACCTGTTCTAAATTAGCAACAGCTATAACTTAACTATATTCCAGAGGAACATATTCCAGACCAAGTACTGAATAAGATTATCTATCAGAAACAAAAAGAGCACTTTTCTTTATTAACTAATGTCTAGTTTAAGCCTTGGGAACGCTTTTCCTTAAACACTTGGCTTTCTTATGTCACTGCCTAGGCTGAGCCCCAGCTTGTAATTTATTAATTTAACAGGAATACAAGCCATGAGGTGGCCTTTATCCTGTTTTCTTATATTCAAAGCAAGATCTCTATTAATACCTACCCCTACTTTTAGCTACAGAAGTCCAATAATTCTCCTAGTTTTCCTCTTCAAACTCTTGAGCAGCTATAATGGTGTGGGGGGTCAGCTGAGCAGCAGAGCAGAAAGTACTGTGGATTTAATAAATGATGTGACATCTTGACCTTGGTGGGCCAGAAGCCCTGGGAACAGCAAACAGAAATGTAAAGGAGGAAGCAGAAAAGTAACACATTGCTTTTTCTAAAGGAAGTCATGCAAGATTGTGGTTAAGCAGTGTTGCTAAGAAATGTAAATACTGTGTTTATTGCTTAAGCAGTAGAAAATTTTACCTAAGGCTGTAAAAGTATATAAACTGAGCTGTGGAAACAATAAACTACTTCTTGCTTGCACCTAGAAGGAGTCCTGTCTCTCAATTGCCATCACAAGGGTACCTCAGTCATGAGCCCTCTGCAGATCGACACTGCCACTGAACTTGGTGTCATCTGCAAAAAGACTGAGCATGCCCTCAGTCCCCTGTCCTGTCCTGAGCATTGTAGAAAATGTCAATGCCATGGTCGGGGTTTTGGTTACCCAGACCAGAACCCTGACTTACTCTGGCACTTGCTTTGCCATGTCTTGTTTCCTGGTCGTGTCCAGGTCACAAGGAAGAGAAACAAGTTCTTTGGTAGGGGCCTTTCCAGATTGGTGAAGGAGCCTTGAAACCCGGTTGGTTTGGCAAGGGCAGCAAACCATCCCAAGCCTGCCAGTTGGATGCCAACAGCTCTGGTGGATGCCTGGGACAATGCAAAGGCATTCCAGATACTCCAGCCAAGGCATGGCTTTCTGCAGGGCCTGGCTCAGGGGCCTGTGCACAAACACACACGGCATGGGGAGCACACCAGAGGAAGGAGAGAGCGTTCCAGTGCTCATTCCAGTGCTCCTGCCTCCGTGGGTGTTACACCATTGGCATTACCACAGAGACATGCTGGGATAGCTCCTTGTACTATTTGAAAGCAAAACAGCAAGAGACTCTCAAGTCAGAACTACAATTTAATAGGAAAATTAAATTAAATTAAACTAATAGTACAGAAACAGTGGCAGAGTCAGGATACAACCTGACACCCTGCCGCTCAGGTGGTGCTAGCAGTCCCATTAAATGGTGGCT